TTATTTAACTGGTAAAACCCAGGAAACTCAACAAGCTTTCCCCAATATCTGTCCCTTTACATCTAACAGACTGTATCCTCTAACAGCCAATTGTTCTTGACCTCAGAAAACACCTCTTCTCCTTGCCACCTGGTTTTTTAATCATACTCATCTTCAGGATCCTGCTAAGTGAACCGCCAACTCTCTTCTGGGCCTTCTGTTTTGCCTCCAAATACCCTATTCCATCCATAGAAGAAGTAGACAGATAACACTCCCTAAGATACATTTCCTTATGTTGATGCTCCTTTAAGCAACCATCACCTCCTTTCTTCTCTCCCTTTCCACATTTCTTGACATAAGCAGTGTTTTTCATGAAGGCTTACTTTCTTTCATGGCTCCTTCTGATGTCAAGGCAACTGGAAACGATCCGGTCAGTTGCCATTGTTCTGACTGCGGTGAACTAATTCTTACCAAAATGCAGGCTTGTTGCTGCTCTGAAACAAGGCACTGTCATCACTTTCTTGAGACTTGTGATTCCCCAGACACTGGTTCTCAATTTGCTTTATTTGATGTACTTCTGCAAAGGGCCCCTCACTGTCCTCTCTGAGTCCAGTCCTTCTTCTTTTTAATCATCCTTTCAGTCAACTTCCTAAAGGCTAGCTAAGATTGGGCTCCTTTGCTGCCTAAAATCCTTTATACCTCTCTTATGCCTGCTGACAGTCAACCATCTCCAGCTGGATACCAGCTCTTCTCACGAAGGCCTGGTCTCAGCCCCGTCATTGCTCTGCAACCTCTTTTCCACACCCTGTAATCAAGCAAACCTCAACTGTTTTTCCACTCACTGCCTTGGACTTTCCAGCATTCATGCCTGGAATAACTTTCCTTACCCCCAGGAGAGGTCAATTTGAATCCATCAGAACTTCAAAGACCAAATTGTCACTCATGTTTTGCTAGTCCAGAGATTTTTTTCCTGCATCTCTGGAAGTTTCTGTCAGAATCTCCTACCATTTCTCCTGTCCTTGGATTATCTTCCTTCACAGGTAGGCTCTTGGTAGGAGGTAGCTGGGAAGAGGGCTGATGGAGAATGAATATAGTCAGATGGACTTGGCTTTGAATTCTTCTCCTTCTTTCTCTTTAGCTACAGAAAGCTACTTACCATCTTTAATCACTAGTTTTCTAAATATAAGGCAAATATCAACACTTTCTCATAGAATTGTGATTTAAAAAAATTTACACAGGAAAGCAAGTAAGCAGCTGGCACCCCAAAAAAAACCATTTTATGATTTTCTTTTCTATCAGGTTCAAATTAGTCAGCTTAGGTGGTTGGGCTGCCTGTGGTAATAAAACATGTAATTTTTTCCACTTTTTTGTGATAGACTATAAAAGCAAATATCAAAAACCTTCACTTTTTTCTTATTTTTCTCTAGGAAAAAGAAAAAAACTGTAGCATTAATTGTTCTTCTTTGAAATGAAAGAGGAGGAGGGAAGGAAAAGGGAGAGGAAAGGGAAAAAGGAAAGAAGTAAGAAATGAAAGCCAGTAGGGAGTGGGGAAAAAAGAGAGAGATTTAGTGCTTTTTATATGAAGGAGTGGAATGTTTTCCAACTGAAAACACAGAAGTGCTTCCAAACACTGTATTTATAAAGTCCAGTTCCTTCAGATTCCATAACTGCTACAAACATGGATCAGCCTACAAATCAAATCCGTGTTCCTCCTTTGCTCCCCACCACCGCTGCCCACACTTCCTGAAGGAACCTGTGCACACAGGGCTGCAGATGACTCTTAGGCAACTGCTCCTCTGTTTTCTTAACTTGGCTTGGCCCACAGTTGTGAACTTTGGCTCAGAAGACCCCATTTCATAGTGACCTGCCAAAGAGCCTCGCAACTTAGCACTGGGCATACACTTTGCTGAAGAGGGCTGTAGGCCAAATTGGGCTTTGGCTTTCTGTAGAAAAGTTATCCTAAGTAACCAAAGTAAAAGGAAGCGGGCGGCTCTGTTCTGATCATGCATGTGAAATTGGCTAAAATTTGTCATTTTCTAAGTCTCTCACAATGGAAACAGCAACTATAAACATGCAAAAAATATCCCAGGTCCTAAATTCCATATAATGTTACTGACTCCATACCTTTTGTGGGATACTGTAGACTTCCCCTGAAGAAGCCTGCATTACTTCTAATCTGCCACAGAGCTTGGCTTTGCCTCAGTTATCCCAAGAAATTCTAAGAACTTCAAAATGCATTAATCCCAGTGAACTGGATCTTTGTTATATATTCATTCCCAGTGTTTTTCAAAATAGCCCCAATGTCACTGGCTTAATTGGTGGCAGGTTATTTTCCAGTTGTCAAATAATCTTTTCCTATTTGAGAGTCAGAAATAGAAACATTCACTCATAAAGGAACTGAACAATTTGGAACATGAACAATATAAGTATTTATTTGAAAAACATTTTCCATTTAAGTAAAATGGCAAATCAGTCATAGTAGTTTCTTACTACCAATTCCAATTTGCACTCACAGTCACTTTAATCCATCATATTCAGAGACATTGCTACAGAAAACTATTTCACAATTTCTAGGAAAAAAATATATACAATCTCTCTAATAGAAAGTTAAGTAAAATAATAAAGATAGGCAATATAAAGCTAAGATATGAAACAAACTGACATGTATGAACACAAATAAATAAATATATACAAAAGAGTCTATGTCAACAACAGAAAAAGGAAGTCTTTACAATCAAGAAATGGTGACAAGAGTGGAAGTTACTCTAACAAACCAGAATTAAAAAAAAAAAAAGCGTGGGCAGGAAACAGAGTCTGAACTGTGCTATTCTCAGAGATGGGTGTAGGCTGGATTTTGGCTTCCCAGTTAAATTCCTGGCCCCCTCTTCTGAGGGGCTCAATGTAGGAGAGAACTGCATACTTAGAACTGAGGCAGGAATTTGGCTCAGTCTTCTAAATCCATTTGCAAATGTTTCTATTCAGCTGTTCATTTTTTCCTCACCTGGTTATTGAAAATTTCTAAGGTGGGGTTGACATTGCTGCCAAATACGCATTAAAAAATGTTTTCTCAAATCTGGATGTTTATGAGTAGAAATAAAAAACAAAACCAGTTTTGAAGCTATATCTTAATTACTATTAACTAAATACACACTTTGTGCAGAAATCTTACAGTAGAAAGCTAATTAAAATCTATCGTGTATATCTAACGTTGGGGGGACTATACAAATATTCAGTGACTATTTAAGGTTAATTTGTATCTATACATAACCTCTGGCACAATAAGCAGCCTGTTAAAATAAACCTAAAGAAAAGGATTTCGATCTACTGTAGTGAATCTGAGTGACCTTAAGAGTTACTATACTTCTCTCATAATTACTCCCCTTCCCTCTAAAAGCCAGGCTTGGGCAAAGCTCACTGTCCCCCAGGATGGTGATCTAGGCTGTTACAAAATGAAACAGTAATAACAACCCATCACTACACTGTGTTGTCATTCTTTCCAGCCTGGCAAACAGCTTCGTGATTAAAGCTAGGTGAAAGGTGAGAGGCACCTTGAGTTGCTATAGGCCCTTCTACATCTCAGACTGAGACACCTGCTTTTGGCACAGAGGTTCAGGCCTCCAGGGATCTGTCTGGCCTTTGCCTGCAGAGTGGCTCTGCCAGAATCCCTCCCTTCTCATCACTTGTGCTGTGGCTTCCTTGAACCTGAAGATTCCTGGAGGACCCAGAGCAAAAGAAAAGGGCAGCATGCACTGAGATCCATTTCTAAGACCCTGGATAGGATTCCATCATTTAAGAACAATTAAAATATGGTCTCCTTCACCTTCATTAGTAAGCAAGCAGGCACTGATCAGATAGTTTGAGAGTTAAATAAGCTGCTCAATATTACGCATGGCTGTATGCAGAAGCCTGAGCCATAGGCACCTCCTCGGGCTCTTATAAGCTATAATTAGAGGACTCAGTACAAACAGCTTTTAGACTAGCAGTTTACAGACCCACAAATTTATAAATTATTTTGATTAATTGAACCTATAGTTCTTCTCGGTGTATATTCCTTGGAACAAAATTCTCATTAGGGGAAGTAAGAGAACTTCATTTCTGTATTGGAAATATCTTAAAGTCATTAGAGTAAGGACAGGGTCAGAGAGTTTCAAAAGTGTGTTTCCTAAAAGGGAAAGCCTACTGCATACAGCACACCTGATGGAAATTCTCCTTCTCAGGAGTCTGTGAAGGAACGGTCTAACAGGTTCATTTGTAAATAACTACTGGGGTGTCCATGTCATTGCAATGTCAGTACTAAACTGGATTCAAATGTATGGAATTAAATTAGAATTAATGATGATGATTAAGCTTTGTGCCTTGAATACAATAAATGAAATCTTAGAAATTTACACAGTCTTAAATTAACTAGATTAATATTTTGGGAAAACTCTTTCTTAAACATGTTGTGGACCTAAAGGTTAGGTTATGTATTTGGTATAATAAGAAAATATCATTTTTAATCTTTGGGTCAAATATTAAAACATTCTTTTCTATTTGTGTTTGAAATTTCACTGAAAAAGAAAAAAATGCTGCTTCATTCATAGAAAATAGTTGGAATTGAACTTGTGGATATCCAAAAAAAGTTACAAATATTACTGTGCTTACAGTTGAGAAAGATGATTTAGAAAACAGTCATATCCTGGCCTAAAATGTGAGGTGTGGCATATGGTATCTAAGCTAGTGTTTGCCCTTGGCTTTGATCTTTCCTGATTTCTGATTAGTTTGAATGAGTTACATATTCTAACACATCACCTCTCCTCTGGCTCCTGAGTCAGTTGCCCTCAGTACTGAAGTTGCAGTGATGACGGAAGCTCCTCCATGGAAGAAATGTATTAAAAGGATAAATGCTGGATCTCACAAAAGCCTTCTTAACAAAACACATTCCTCTGCTCTATGCAGTTGCCTAGGTAACAGCACAGTGGTTTCACTATGTGCAGACCTTCACATTTCCGAAGATTGATTTTTTTCCTATATTAAATACATCAAAACTTTGTGCTGTGGCTGAAGGTGTCTGACAGGATAATATTTTTATAGAAGTTATCTGAATGAGCATTGCAATAACCCTTGACCTTATCAATGACCTGATGGACAGGGATGATTGATGTTTGTTCTCCATCAGCATGGGTCAGTTTTGACAAGGGCTTGTCCAAGGAAGCACTGTCTGCAAGAAATGATACAAGAAATCAGGTTGCATGAAGAACTGTACTCTGTTACTTCACACATTCAAGTCTGGTTCTTTTGTAGGTTAGGTAACAGGCAGCACTACAATTTCATGTTTTTCACCTTTAAAGTGCACTCCCAGAATTCACTGAATAGCAACTTGTCTTTTAGTGATTTGTGCTGTGGTTATAAGAAAATATCCTTGTAAATGGCATTTTTCAGTCATCAATAAAATAATTTTAAAAGTCTCAATTTGAGGCCAGTCTGGGAAAAAAACTAGTGAGACTCCATCTTTACAAACAAGCCAGGTGAGGTGGTACACCCCTGCAATTCCAACATTACGTAGAAGGATTATGGTCTGAAGTTGGTCTTAGGCAAAAAGTGGAAGACCCTATCTGAAAAGCAATATAAAGCAAAAGGTAAGAGGTGTGACTCAGAGGTAGAGCAAATTCCTGAGTTCAAAGGTCAGTTATAGATATATATATTAAAGGTGGTGACACACACTTTTACACCCAACTATTTGAGAGGTGGAGGCCACCCAAGACAAAAGTTAGCCTGACCCTAACTCAAAAGCAAAATGACAGCAACAGGACTTGGAGTATAAGTTCAATTGCCACTACAGCAAAAAAAAAAAAAAAAAAAAAAGAAGAAAATATCTATATCTATGTGGAAGATGGATATAAAAATTAAGAGCTTAGGCTAAAATTAATTAAATATGCTGAAATGTTTATGGAGAAAATGATATGCTACCTAAGATATGTTTGCCAAATCATATAGAAAAGGAAAATGGATATGTATATAATATATAATATGTATAATATATATATGTATATATATATATTGTTGGCTCTAAGTTGATGTGCACAAAGAGATTCTACTTTTCATGTTTGACACATTTCATAATAAAAATTTTATAAAGTTTAATTTAAAGGCACTTGGAAAATAAAAGTGAATAAAAATGAACATAAAAGACTACTTTGAACACATTTTCCCAGGACTTTTAGCTTGTGAAATGAATGGAAAATAGCAAATCCAGAATTTTTAATGAATTGTTAATGATAGAAATCAAGATTCTCTTCATCAGAAGTATTTTTGTATTTTCAAACTTCTTTTTCATTAACTTTGTTACAGTTTCAGCGATAATATCAGAGCAACTGATAGGACCGCTAATCAATTTCTACACGAAAATGTTATTTCTCTAGACCCAAAACGTTCCTAAAGTTATTTCAGAGAGTGCCCTGCAACTCATAAGCTCTTTTTCCAATAAATGCATGTGGTTGTCTTTATGTACTCTCTGAATATCATAAGCATCTGACCTTTTCCTTCTCCCAAGATACTTTGCAAAAAAATTATACATTCAAAGTAATCAAATTACAGACTTTACATTAAAGAAAGAGAAAACATGGTGTCCTATCAGGTATTCAGTTCTCTACAGTTATATCTTATCTATACACCGATGGAGATGTAAAAACTATCCTAAAACACTGCTTTCAAGAATCATAGCTCCAAAATGGGAGTATTCACTTGAGGTCTTTTATGTTTTGAGAAAGTTGGACCTAGTATGTGACACAACCTATAAAATCCATGAATAATTGGTCAAAGTTTCATCATGATTTCTGTTGTTTTTGGAAACTATTCCAATTGTTCAAATTGTCCTGTATTGGAGGAGACACTAAACCAAAAAAGGCTAAAAATAAGAAAAGGTACCCTCCTTCTATGGTAAAGGACACCAGAGAAGAAGAGACGGTTCATGAATAGTATGGGCAGAGGGAAGCATGGTAGAACGACTCAAGCGTGTCCCAGTGCTGGTGAGGAAAAGCCTGGAAGTCACAGTTGAAGCCCCCGCCCCCTCTCGCTGGTTGAATCTGTACTTCCTTCAAGTTCAGATGTTCAGTAGCCACTGGTTTTCTGTTGGGGATTTTTCTATTGACTTAAATCTCAATAATGAATAATTTGTGCTTGATGTTTCTAGAAAACCACATGTCCTCAGAGAAACCTCAAGGATATATTTCTTCTACTTCTTGGACAAATTCCAGGGGCACATGTTTTTAGAGACTGTGACCAGCCCTGTACTAAGACATGATCCAATTTCATCGGTCTTCACAGTCTAATAAAGTAAAATTCTGAACAACAACAAAAATATATATATTTCTCCCCAGTCTTCTGCCTAGATATTACATTATGAATAATAAAGATTTTCATTATGCTTGCAAATGAAAACCAGGGGCTACAGAAATGAACTTATTATTTGATCTATGCTGAGATCTCAAGCAGATAAAAAATCTTGAAGCAGCTTGCAACTGACAATTTCTCTTTTATGACTTCTATGAATGTACCATGACACAGTCAGTAACTCTTAAGAGCAGTGAAAAGTAAAAATTCATACCTTTCTATAATAAATCTTCTCTCTAATGCTGTTCTTTTTATTATTTTACATAATATGTAACCCACTCACTCCAGAGCATGGTACATTTCCTAGAAGGAGCGGCTTGCACACCCCATGCAGAGAAGAGCTGGCACAGCCCAATGTCATTAGAAATTCCAGAAATTCCAGCTCAATGCAGAAATATCATTGGACTAGCTGGAAAGTATTGTAGAGAACAAGCCATTTTGCTGGTGCAGCAAGAACCTTAGCTTAATCCATGCAAATTTTCATTTATTACCTTGCAAAAATTCATGCATTCAAAAAAGTAATAAAGTTTACCTGAATGATCCACTTTTGTTGAAGGAATGCTCTTAGGAGACATTATCTACACCATAAACACATGAATGTCTACATCAATTCCAGGAAAATATCAACTCCACATCTGTGAGGATATGCAATGACTTTTTGCATACCCCAAGTGATCCCCAGTATACCTGTCCCACCAAAAAATTGCTGTGTAGCTGAATGTGTTATACCATACTAACAATGCCATAAAGCTCACTATATCTTCAGGCTAGTGGCAATGACAAGGCATTTCACCTCTTTTTTCTTTGTTGTTGTTGTTAGGGGAAAGAGAAAAACATTAATGCATCCTTTAAATAAAAGTAGAAACACATGTCACTTGAAACACTAATGCTTGCGTTTGGTACCTTCATTTCTGCATTTCCCTTTTAAAAATCTTCCAGTCAGTTTTCCCAAGGATCCTAAACCCTTTCTTTCCTTAATATTTCCAAAATGTCCTGCGTTCCAAATGATCTACATTATTATCGTCTTTCCTGCTTTAAGAGAGGCATTTTTTTCAGGCTAGCTATTCTCCACTATACTAAGAGAAAAACAGTTCAATTGATCTAATGCCTATTCATTCATAACTGACTTATAATGTATCAATGATTTGCATTTTAGAAAGACTGGCAAAAAGAATATCCAATTTTAAATTTGGTTAAATAGAGTGAAATTCATTATAAGTAAAAGACTGTGTCAAGGAACTATCAGCTCAGCAAAATAACTTATGTTAGGCTGTACATTGCAGTCAAATTCTTTGCATAGATATCCTTAAGCAGGGTTCACAGACCTCTTAATCTTAGTTGGAACTGCCTGAATGACTCAAAGCCTGCATGTTATTAGGAAGGGAAGCCATAGCTTTCATTCAACTTTCCAAAATGTCTTTGACTCCAAGAACCTTTAAGAGCTGCTCTGCTAGGCTGCTCTCGAGTTCTTAGATCTTCTTTAATTTTGAAATTAACACAAACTGTAGACACTCAAAACTTTTTTCCACAATATTGTGGAAAATAATAACAAAATCCTAGACCATGGCTACAGCAGTGGCAAGGCACAGAAGATCGTGCAAGCAGGGACGTATGGAAGGATTGAAACTTTGCAAGGTTAACTTGAAATTCGAGTATTTGCAATAGCACTATTATAGACATATTTTATTCCCTGTCCACAAAAAGTCAAATATTAATCTTTTCTGTGCCATTCACCTTTGTTCATGTTTGATGGGTAAACAAATTAAAAATTACAAAGTTATTATGCTTTTAGAAATATCTTTAATTAGGAAGGTAGTGTGTGCCCAATGTGGACAACTGTCAGCTAAGGAGTTTAATTAGTATTCAAAAATAGCAATTCTACTATTTCCCTCTTAAATGACTAAAAAAATACACCTTTTCACAGTAGCTACTATCAAGGACAATCTTTATTTCCTCATGTTATCATCAAGATTGTTCATGAAATGCTCATGTCAAAACATGTGGTCATTGCAAACAAGAAGAAGAAATAGGATTTAGACAAAGGCACAGTGTCTCATACAATCCTTATCAGTAAACATTATGCTCTCTGTTCTTTCATATTTAATCAGTGAGCTAAGGAAGTGCTGCCAATAGCACCTCCAATGGTTAAGGAACTAATTCTTAAAAAAACGTGCATCGCAGGTGGTACTTCTTTCTGATGTTATGGCAACTCATTAAGCAACTTTCATACTATGCTCAAATATTGTGCAATTCTATTTTTATATTTTTGAATAAAAATATGTAGCTTTAAAAAACAAAATATCATAATTTTTAAAAGAAAACTAAATTTCAAATCAAATGGTGAAGTTACATTAATATTCAGAGTTACTTATATTATGGCTATGTAGACATGGTTGGGTTATAAAGTTTTAAAAAGAATGAAATACACTTAAAATTGCTTGATAAAGTCTTCAGATAGATTTTTGTTTCTCATAAATCTGAAATAAGATCTCTTTTCATGGTGTCACATTTTGAATGAAAGTGTGCCAGATAGGAACTATACCAAAGGCATCTTTAGGATGGCCAGAATGACTCACCTGTGTGGCTATTCCTCTTGAAATAGGTGGTAGAGCTGGATTTAGATTTGGATGTGAGATAGGTTGAGTTGGAACCAATGGAACTTGAAGACAAAGATTTTCCTATATTATCAGAACTTTTCTTGATGATATTGGTAGCTGTCTTACTCCAATCTAAAAGAAGTGACATCACTTTATCAATCTATTTTGTAAGGGATATGCTCTTCCTGAAAAACCATTACGGCATTGTTTAATTTATCAAAAAAATTCAATTTTATGACATTTTGGCTATGGCTTAAAGAAGGTACTGACATGTAAGAACAATAATCTGAAGAAACAGAGATGTTTCATACTCTGACCCTATGAATGTATTATTTAAAATCCCAGAAAAATCATTAGCATTTCTTTACACTAACAATGAGCAAACTGAAAAAGAATGTATGAAAACAATTCCATTTACAATGGCCTCAAAAAAAATCAAATACCTAGGTGTAAACCTAACAAAAGATGTGAACGACCTCTACAAGGAAAACTATACACTTCTGAAGAAAGAGATTGAGGAAGACTATAGAAAGTGGAGAGATCTCCCATGCTCATGGATTGGTAGAATCAACATAGTAAAAATGTCGATACTCCCAAAAGTAATCTACATGTTTAATGCAATTCCCGTCAAAATTCCAATGACATTCATTAAAGAGATTGAAAAATCTACTGTTAAATTTATATGGAAACACAAGAGGCCACGAATAGCCAAGGCAATACTCAGTCAAAAGAACAATGCAGGAGGTATCACAATACCTGACTTCAAACTATATTACAAAGCAATAACAATAAAAATAGCATGGTACTGGCATAAAAACAGACATGAAGACCAGTGGAACAGAATAGAGGACCCAGATATGAAGCCACACAACTATAACCAACTTGTCTTTGACAAAGGAGCTAAAAATATATGATGGAGAAAAGACAGTTTTCTCAACAAAAACTGCTGGGAAAACTGGTTAGCAATCTGCAAAAAACTGAAACTAGATCCATGTATATCACCCTATACCAAGATTAACTCAAAATGGATCAAGGATCTTAATATCAGAACACAAACTCTAAAGTTGATACAGGAAAGAGTAGGAAATACTCTGGAATTAGTAGGTATAGGTAAGAACTTTCTCAACAAAACCCCAGCAGCACAGCAACTAAGAGATAGCATAGATAAATGGGACCTCATAAAGCTAAAAAGCTTCTGTTCATCAAAAGAAATGGTCTCTAAACTGAAGAGAACAACCACAGAGTGGGAGAAAATATTTGCCAACTATACATCAGACAAAGGACTGATAACCAGAATATATAGGGAACTTAAAAAACTAAATTCTCCCAAAACTAATGAACCAATAAAGAAATGGGCAAGTGAACTAAACAGAACTTTCTCAAAAGAACAAATTCAAATGGCCAAAAAACACATGAAAAAATGCTCACCATCTCTAGCAATAAAGGAAATGCAAATTAAAACCACACTAAGATTCCACCTCACCCCTGTTAGAATAGCCATCATCAGCAACACCACCAACAACAGGTGTTGGAGAGGATGTGGGGAAAAAGGAACCCTCTTACACTGTTGATGGGAATGTAAACTAGTACAACCACTCTGGAAAAAAATTCGGAGGCTACTTAAAAAGCTAAACATTGATCTACCATTTGATCCAGCAATACCACTCTTGGGGATATACCCAAAAGACTGTGACACAGCTTACTCCAGAGGCACCTGCACACCCATGTTTATTGTGGCACTATTCACTATAGCCAAGTTATGGAAACAGCCAAGATGCCCCACCACTGACAAATGGATTAAGAAAATGTGGTATCTATACACAATGGAATTTTATGCAGCCATGAAGAAGAACAAAATGTTATCATTCGCTGGTAAATGGATGGAATTGGAGAACATCATTCTGAGTGAGGTTAGCCTGGCCCAAAAGACCAAAAATCGTATGTTCTCCCTCATATGTGGACATTAGATCAAGTGCAAACACAACAATGGGATTGGACTATGAGCACATGATAAAAGCGAAAGCACACAAGGGAGGGGTGAGGATAGGAAGACACCTAAAAAATTAGCTAGCATTTGTTGCCTTTAATGCAGAGAAACTAAAGCAGATACCTTAAAAGCAACTGAGGCCAATAGGAAAAGGGGACCAGGAACTAGAGAAAAGGTTAGATCAAAAAGAATTAACCTAGAAGGTAACACCCACGCACAGGAAATCAATGTGAGTCAATGCCCTGTATAGCTATCCTTATCTCAACTAGCAAAAACCCTTGTTCCTTCCTATTATTGCTTATACTCTCTCTACAACAAAATTAGAAATAAGGGCAAAATAGTTTCTGCTGGGTATTGTGGGGGTGGGGGGGAGAGGGAGGGGGTGGAGTGGGTGGTAAGGGAGGAGGTGGGGGCAAAGGGGAGAAATGACCCAAGCCTTGTATGCACATATGAATAATAAAAGGAAAAAATAAAAATAAAAAAATAAAATCCCACTTTAATACCTAAGGATGAGAAGTAATTGCTGATGTTAAAAATATATTAATACCATTCTTCAAATATGTTTTATAGTGACAAAAATCTCTTCACCTAAAAATGTAACTGAGAATCTCAAAAATGTGGAAAAGTGGATCCAATTTAGTGGAACCTTAAGATATCTGAGTCGTGAAATTAGACATCAAACCTCGGGCAACTCATTTAACCTGTGTGGAACTCATGTCCAAAGTTCTCAGATCTCTTCTAGCCCAACTAGTCATCTTCACACATTCCACTGTACACCTTGCCACCACTGGGGCTCTGCTGCTGTGACAGTGGAAGGCCAAATGACAACCATTTCCAACCGCTTTCAGATATAAAACCCAATGAACAACGCGCTTCTTTACCTGAGTTGTCTGCCAACCGAAATCTGCCACAACACAGGTGTCGCCTCCACTGTTTCTGAACATTCTCTTTCATTGCACAGTGGAAGATAAATATAAATAAGCCTGCAGCAAAAGAAAATATAAACATTTAAGCCTAATGACACATCTTAAAGATAAATACTATTAAATATGTGGATTCATTTTAAAGTTTATTCAACTAAGTCATGAAGATCACAGATCTTATGCAAAAGACTCTTGGTGTACTCAGTAGACATTTTAATCCTTTAGAGAAGAATACACTGGTGCAGAAAAAACTAGAATAATTACATGGATCTGATTCTATCTTTGCCTGTGCTGTTGAGCATTCTTTATGTATGACTTAATCTAAAAAGCAAGCTAAAATAGCAACTTTCAATTTAATCTTTTAGTACTTAAAAACTTTCCATAAAATTTATAAAAAAGGAAAAACTGAAAACACCTTCACCTATATGCTCATCACCTGTTTTAATTTGTGTGATCCGAGCTAATTTATATTATGTGCATTATTATAGGGGTAATCATATTATGTTAGGTAGGGCCACAGAAAAGTGATACTTTTGCAGGTCACCATAGCCCTATCTCAGCAAAGTCAAATGGCTCGACCTGGCTTACTTTAGTTTCTCAAGATTTCAACACAGAAATATTTCCATATTGGGAAATAGTCTTTATAATTATAGTTACTCCCAGCACCTATCAAAACCTGTCTCATTTGTGCTGTGGAAGTCAACCCTTTGAACTTTCTGGGAATTGACTTCTGAATTTTAATCCTCTCTTTGTGGCCACTCTATTACCCACCTGCACTGTTGTTTACTGGTCATTCCCATTACCTACTAAGCACATTTTACTCCATTTTGAAAACAAAAAATTACTCCATTAACTTCCAGTCTCCTTCCAGATTCAAATTCTTCCCAATAAAACTCCTTGAAAAGGACTAACTTTTGCTGTTTTTCTGTTCAACCCACTCCCAACAGGCTGCTGTCCACATCCATTTCAATTCTCCCTCACTTTTAAAAGGTGACATGTCTGTGACTCTAGGTTCTCTTCTATGGCTACATGGTTTCAGTGTACTAATACTTCTAAATTACAAGTATAACATCTCTGAGACTCAAGACTGATTTTTATCTTTGGACCCACTTCCTTTTCTCCCTGATACTACCAGATTCCAGCCCACTCTGCTGATAGGCATCTTTCCTTAGCTGTATCTCTTGTTACCAGCATTCCAAACCCCAGTGTTCTGAAGAGAAATCTTCTTAATGATGACCTTAAAACTGCCTTACTTTCTTCTATTTGTGAATGTATCAGGCTCATTTCTGCCAATGCTGTGCTGGATGCTGTTTCTTGAGATCTTTTCATAACAGATTTCTACCTATCATTCAAGCTTCAGATCAACTCCTTAGAGAGGCATCAACTTTTTAACTTTAACTTCACTCCCTTTCACATATCCTGTTTTCTTTATGGCACTAATCAGTACTTGTTAGTCTTGTATTTCTCATTTATTCACTTGCTTGTTTCATTCTCTACCTAGTAAATAATAAGCTCCAAGGAAACAGAGATATTTGTCTACTCCATCTTGTGCTAGCTGTTTCCAGAATGATGTCAAGGAGCTATGCAAGAATTCAATGAATGCTAATTGAATGAGTAAATTATGGTAAGCATGGCTAATCAATCATCTTTTCTGCCTGGGTTAAATGAATGCTTATATGCACAGTCTAAGGTGTCACAGGTTTTGGAGGTAGAGGGTTAAAAGCAGGAGTGATCAATACACAATGATAATACAGGAACACAGCGAGAATACATTTAAGGCAAAAGTTTCTGAAAAACACACAAAGGACTTGCGAGATAATGCACTCATGCCCCAGTAATTCACTGAAATAAGCAGCAACATATCTAGAGAAGGGAGGGTTTTGTAGCGGATTCAGGGCTCTAACTGAACCTTAAGAAAAGCTGAGTAGAGTGATGAGCTGGAGGCTCAAAAATGAGCAAGGTAGACAGTTCTAATATTCATAGAGCCAAGGTCGGGCATGAAATGCATAAAAGTAAAAGTTATTACAGCACTTTTAAGGGATAATAAGAACTTATCTGTCCCATTTGAATAAGGAGCACTCAAGAAAACTGTAAATTGCTGGGTGCTGGTGGCTCACACCTGTAATCCTAGCTACTTGTGAGGCTGAGATCAGGAGGTTCCAAGCCAGACAGAGCAAAAAATTTGTGAGACCCCATTGAGATATGCAAACAAAAAAAAAACAAAACCGGGAGTGGTGGTGCACACCTGTCATCCCAGCTACAGCAGGAAACCTAAAATAGGGTCAAGATCCAGGTTGGCCTGGGCAAAAAAGTGAGAACTTATTTTCAAAATAACCAGAGCAAAAAAGGGCCAGAGGAGTGGTTGAAGCCACTGAGTGGCAAAACCCTGAGTTCAAACCCTATTACCACAAGAATAAATAAATAAATAAATAAAGCCTTTGTAAATTAGCTTGCAGCTTATACAACTGAAAAAGGGAATACATTCAAAGTACTGTCTTTTGATTTATATATTTGTAGAATATGGAGCTGGGTGTGGTGGCACATGCCTGAAATCCCAGAGCTGACTCAGAAGGCTGAGGCAGAAGGATGGAGAATTTGAGGCCAGTCTGGGATACATAGTGAGATCCAGTCTCAAAAAACAAAAAATAATTTGCAAAATATGTTCAAAGTTACACTTACATGTCTTATTTTTTTAATATCTTAACTCAAAATGGCTCGTGATTTTACTTCAGAATAATTTACATTTTGAAGTATCAGAGAGAATTCACTAGATTACTACCCGAGTGAAATGCTCTGGGCTGATTCTCCTCTGGCTTTGGCTTCAGCAGTGATATCTGAGCACAGAGGCTGGCACTTAACAACACTGGTTATCAATTCTTGTTAAAATTACTCAAGAATAATTATCAATTTTGACTTGTGGAGAAATGCCACTATGAAAATAATTACTACATTTTGTCACTAATTTCAAATGGTTGCACAGCCTATTAAGAACCTCCTGGGAAATTCAGATGCATTTACCTCAGTGAGGTATAAAGCATTTAATAATATAAATGAAGTTATTTGTTATATTTATTATTACTACATGTCATTTATATATAGTTATATAAATGTATTTTTTATTTATTAACATTTTATTGCTAGCAATTAGTAGAGTAAATATATCATAGTGATCTGCTTCTTTGTAGAACAGAGAAGTTCTAATTTAATGAAAGAAAGCTCTATTAAATATGAAGTATGTTTCAGTTATTTAGAAAACAAGCAAACACACCCTTCCTGAGGTTCCCTGTGATATGAGCTGGAAAGAGGATGCCTACTGGCACATTGGCCTGGCCAAGATTTTCTTCCACACAAAGATATCCTCAGGTACAAGCCTCTTTGGGCTGGTCCTCTTCCCAGGGAATAGGAAAGAGGCATCACTGAATCAGACCTCATCTTCACACTTCAAATGATGGAATCAGAAGACTAGTCAAAGCCTTCCCATATCTACCAAATAATTTCCCTAGTCAGTTTGCTAAACATAGGAAGTTCTTTTAATAAGCAAATTTGTGTTACCAGTAGTGTGAAAAGCCAAAGTACATAAATAATGAATTTATTATTTTTTGAAAGGATTACTAGATCCTTTCAAGTGTTGAGGAGCTGGTAGCAGTTACAGAGCAAAGAGAAGGGTGAAAGGCCTTAGTTGAAGTCCATCATGAGTGCAGATGAAGGAGGTGATTATAATTTTAGAGAGTATTTAGCTCCTCAGGTTTACTCTATTTCTAAATTTGTTCTTGAAAGTATTTTTGCCATACAGCTAAAAATATAGGTAACTGTGTATTCTTAAACAACTGTATAAGAGAATCATGTATTGGGAACTGAAAAGATACTATAAATTCCAAAAATCAAAGACTTTATTTCTCAAGTGTTAATTCAAGTGTTACCACAGGGCCTCAAATTGAGCAATGGTTTTCTTACAGTTCAGCACAGAGGTGAAATTTAGTAGACATTGCTTTCTTAAATATTCTATTATTCTTTTGTAACTTTCGTACATTTTATACATATCATATATTGGGAAGAAAAATCCTTCAGAGATTGTATCAGGTGTTTTGAGGACAATAGAAGAGAATTAGGTAGCAGCTTTTGTTTTTGGCCTCTTTGAGGGACTAAAAAAGTGAATTTTTTTTGAGAATCAGATGCTGAGCACAGTCAGAGAGGATGAAGTTAAATATGAGATAAGTTCATTTAGTAAAACATTTTTCTAGATTTTGTAATGCTGTTCTAAGTCATCATTACATAACATGAGATGACATTACATATTTTTAACCAACCACAATTGCTGTAAACATATAGGTAGCAAATTAGTGTCAGAGACACTGGCACATAAATTAGATTAAAAATCTCACATAACTCTTCTCGCATTATGTGTTAGAGACAAATGACATAGAGAAGTGATGTGAAAGCCCCATCTTCTACTATATGTTCTGCTATGGGGAAAGCTAGATAGTAATCATGAGAAATTAGAATTTTTAAGAATGAATATATTTTAAATTCCAAGTTCTTATATTTACTACATAAATATAACAAGTTCTTTAACTTGTAGATATGTTTCCACATTAAATCTCTAGACCATTCTCCTAGTAATGAGCCCTTTTCATGTAAATTTAAATTAGTCTGACAAAAAATATTATGCCAATTTTTTTTTCAGAACAAATTAGCCCTTTTAGAGTTCTGCCATGGGAAATGTAGTAAAATCTACATCTGGATTCTAAACACTTCAGAAAGGAGTGGTAGAAAATGAAGCAAGACAGCCAAGGACATTTGGAGGCTAAAGTGAGAAAACAGAAGTTACTCTCTCTTAAATTTTGAGTTTTTTCCCCATTTACTTATAGCTCTTGGTGCCAGAACTAAAACTAAATCATAAAACCTGAATATAGTTCTACATTGACATCCAAAGGAATCTGATTTTTTTCATTCTAGTCTTTGCTTTCTATCAATGTTTTCCCCCTTTTAGAATATTTGTTCCATGTAGGAAACATATGGTCTCCTAGGTTTCTGGAAAGAGCTTTATGCTGTGATTGGGG